GAGCCTCGCAGCTCAGGTAGTTTAAGTGTTGAATACACAAAGACCTTAGATGTGTTCTGGTGATTTATAATGCAATCGGGATTGGGGAGTTTTCACAAGTTGCGTCCCGTGAACTATTCAAATCTGCTAAAATTACACTCAAGAGGCATGCTTATATTGAATTTAAATCAAAGGCTGTGTGAAACTGACATATCTTAGTCGTCTTGATTGTGATACATTAAGGAAAACACTATTTTAAGTCTTGATGATAAAAGCAAATAAGCCCTTACCAACCGCCGTCATTTCTGAGCATGTTAACCATGTGTCCTGCAGCGCATGGGAGCGACTTGGGCACGAATTCGTTCACAATGGTAATGAACTCGCTGCAACTACCATATTCTCTCGTCCTACATTCACGTTGGTCCCATATCAAAATACAATCAAGACCGGAAACGATGTGAGTGCAGTGACTGACAGCGTTTGACATCTCGCTTTCGCGTGACGAAATTTTCGATGTTAGACGTCGCTAGTGTAGACAGACAGCCACCTAAACTCGATCGTACTGATACGCCAGTATGTAGTTAATGGATGTTGTCATGTCCTCCAGTGAACAAGTTTAGGTTTCTAGATATCACCATCTGCCATAATTTATTCACTTGAACATCTGTGAGCGTCTGGTGTGTGCTTGTAACATGATCGCTGGTCAAGGGTTAACGAACCCTGCCTCTCTTTTTCCATTTGTATGTTAGGCCACCTTTATTTATAAATGTGCACGTAATCCTGACATAACTTCTCAATACTCGTAAATATGACCATAAATGTATTCCCGCAAGCCCCCCTGTCTACTGCTGGATTCCTAATAGGCAATGTTTAAATTATCGCAACCGCTAATGCCATAGGGAGTTGCACACTAATTCGAGGGATACAGTTATGAGAAATGATAAACTAAGACAACCCACAAAAGAGCTTAGCCGAGCGTCACCATCTCAGTGGAAAAATATTGGTTGCTTTAGTAAAACCAGTCAGTTTCGTACTAAGTAGGATTTTAGATGTCAGCTAAAACACGCTCAATGGGTTGTCTAGCTACGCAACTATATAAGTTCTTCTTGCAATATAGCGGCAAACTAAAGGAACGAGAGGAAAAAAGTACTGGCCACAAGTAACCTGCGCCAAAAAACCCGAACCCCTATTGCATACTTGTTTTGTTGTAGCAGCATTTGACATCTGTATCAGGCTTTGTTTTGTGTAAATGTATTCGTGACAAACAAACTAAAAGTATCGAGAGACAGTGAGTCCATGATGCAAACATAGTTATTAAGAAGAACATTAAGCCTATTTATGGCTTTAAATGAAATTGAAAGCATCTTACCTCAGCATTCAGTATTATTTTATATCAAAAGGTCACAGATTTAATGTCCATTAGAAATAGGCTCCTGCAAAGTCACGTGACAGAAGGATAGAATGTGAAGTTTTTTCGCTTTGTTGATGGCATGTCCTACCGCAAATAATGGTAATCAGTAATCAGAAAAAATGTTTTCGGTTAGAAAAGATCAAGTTAGTATGGTTATAAGATAAATAAAATAATATATTATAGTCAACTGATAAATTTGTTTTATTTTTTCACTAATTAAAGCGGTCAATAAAGCGTAATTTGCCACGTTTACTAAGTACTTTATGAAGTCACCCACTAATCATAAGATTGGAACAAGCCACTTTGCTAACAAATGAGTACAATAAAGAAGTTTTCCATTTTCTATAAAATATATTTGAATGTATAAAAGCTTATAAATATATGAAAAACCTATATAATTTAAGTAGAGAATTTAAAAAATCAAATATTCGGCAGGTGATCATGAAAAAGCCAAGTCAAACGTCGGTATCCTAAAATGCCGCAAGTATTTTGAAACTGTGGTGCAGGATTAATGCTATAACCTATCCATTTGATCACTCTTTTCTAATTGAAAATAATTTTCATACTTTTGGTTAAAATTTAATGAGAGAAATAATTTTCTGCAGTATCAGACTATTATCATTGGTGATTGTCTGTGGTTACGCGATCACTTTAAGAGTGCCCGAGATGGGTAGTCAGCATATCTGTAGGTAGAAAAAGTGGAAAATTTCAGCGCCATTACATACTGCATTTGCGGTTGAATACCAGAATCTTTAGTGAGCTTTAAGTAGTTTACTTTTGTTTTCCGTTATCAGTCAACAAACAAAGGCAATTCCAATACTCTATTTCATTTAATTCATAAAACTAAGCCACTTTTTGTACGCTGAGTAGTGTTCACGTAGATACTTAGGTCACGTTTGGTATTTAACTGCACTCCTGACTTGTGTCTTCTCCTCAAAAGGAATTTTTCGATGCTCTTATCATGAAGTGGACATGGTTTTCCTTGACGAATAAGTTTGCATGGAGGCATGCTTATCGCTAAACTATTCATGTGTCAGCTTTGAATAAATTGGTATTTACGAGTCATTTGTTCGAAAAATAATATGCTTAAAGTAAGAAATTTTCGGGAGAAGGTTATTAATTACAATAACAAGCAACTGAGCCCAACGCAGGCGTATGCGCAGATGATCCCTTTACTCTGTACTGTTTGCGCTATATGGTAATCAGCGGTGCAACATGCATTAAGTAATAGTTCAGATCGCAGCCGTACTTTAGAGCTTTTAAACAACGTTTTTACGATTTTGCACACAATATGCTTGGTATAAATTAACGCAGTTTATGCTAATGTGCCACTGAATATAGGTATTTAGGTAAATTGCTA